CTTGAGCTAAATGCTACCTCCGGCGTCGGAGGCAGTGTGCCTAGGCACAGCAGTTGCTGGGAAACATGAGTGGAAGGGTGGTGGTGGTGTTCTACTTGTGGCTTCCCACCAGCAGCTGCTTGGCCACTGTGGGAACATAATGCTGGCCAAAATGGACCCTTGACCTGACTGAACAGGCTTTTCTGTTAGTGAGCTTTTATTAATGCTTCCGGGGCCTGCACCATGCCTTTTCATAGCTGAAGTGAAATTATATTAATTGTTGTAACCTGCCCAGGGAGCTGTGTGGCTAATGGGGCAGGTTAGAAATCAAATAATGAAAAAATAAATAAATATGAATTCATAACACTGTTTGGTAAATTTACAGCCAGGCATTTCCTAAAGGGGGATTCTCTCTAAAGCTACTGGAGGGTTTGGGTAACTTCAGGTGCTTTAGAAGCACTTAAAAGCCCCTGGGACCAGCTGGTGGGCAGAACTTACCAGCCATTAAAAATACACATAAAATATGTGGAGGACTTCTGTTGTAGCTGTCTTCTGATGACCAGCTGAGACTCCCTGTAGCTGCTGTTCCTGCTCTGTCTCATTGCCAGTGTGGCAGGACTGGGGATGTGGTGCCAGGCTAAGTATTTGCCAGTTCCAGCTCCTGATGGCCCCACTTTGTGATACTGCACTAGCACATTACATTTCTTCTCCTTCTTTCCTTTCTTGCCACCCCAATGCATCTTCATAGGAAGGAAGTTCCACTTTGCTGCACTGACACTGAATTGTCCTTGTTGATTTTGTAACTCCCCTCATTTGAATACTCTCAATGTTTCAAGGGAGCAGGCTGAGAACTTGCACATAAATTCATGGCAGCTCTAACCTCAGACCTCAATGACATCATCATAGCTCAGAGATGATTCTGCAGCTACCTATGTTGTCCTTAAAAATCACACCAAACCTTTGAAGGGGAGAATGATTAAGATCATAATATCAGTAAAGGGTGTCTAAAAGGGAAAATGTTGATTTATTGCAACTATTCCATAATGCTATTCATCAATAATTTTAAGGAGGTTTATGATATTTTAAGAAAATAAATGAGAACATAAGAAGACCCCTGCTGTTGCTTTCTAGTCCAGCACCCTGTTTCCTAGAGGGGCCAATCATGTATCTATGTGATGTCCACAAGTTGACATTAGCACACTCATCCTCTTTTGCTGCTATTCTCCTACTGTTGTCCATTGTACATATCTGATTGTGGAAGTAGCCAGAGTGACCCATAGGGTGGATTCACAAGTCATGGTAACCCACTCTGGCAATAAGCAACTGCTGGCAGGTTATGGCACAAACAGCCTACCCAATTGCCTGTTGAGGTCACTGTAGGCTGTCCTCCCCTTCCTTTGCACTCAGTCCTCCAGTCAGTATCCCAGAAGATTCAAACAAGAAACACCTTGCTTCTTCATTCTGCTGTGCTCGTGAGCCCATTTTTCTTTGTTGTAGCTTTCTCACCTTTACTCCACCTCGTTTTGCCCCTGCAGATAGCAAGGAACAATCTCTACATTGACAGCTAGTGACAACTCTTCCAAAATGCCCAAAATGCCCAAGCAGCACACCAGAGGATCTGTCATTGGGCTCATCACTGCATCCCAAATGTGCATTTTTTTTAATTTCAATTTTAAGTCAGACTTGTGCAGCCATGAGTCTCAAAATGAGAAGACTCATTTGGCCAATGTCCACAGGGGGCAGCTGTTGTGACCCAGAAAAGTTCCAAGTAAGGGTTTTTCTCACTTCATTTTGATGTGACAGCTGTCAAAGGGTACACTGTTATGTCAAATCAAAGACTTTGCTCACAAAAAGGGGCAGGTGACTTTTGATTATTATTTATTATGTATTTTGTTTATATACAGCCTAATAGCCAAAGTTTTCTGGGTGCCCCATCCCTTAGCAGTAAGATCCTCAAGGTTTTGAGTACCACCCTATAGGTCCCAGTGGCCCCAACCTTTCTACTAATTCCCAATACTCTAGGTATGTGGGAAGGTGGAAAACTGCTCATCTCTTTTTCACTAATATTTGTCTTTGAAAGCTGTCAAAAGTCTGGGTTTCTTTGTAAACAGGGATTTAGGGAGGGCTGGACAGAGTAGTTTAGATAATAAACTATGGCATCTGCTTAGCGTCCAGAACAATGTTCAGGAGTGCACTTGGGCAGGATGTACCCTCCAAGACATTGCCCAGGTCTGGCTTCTGATTTTCAGACTTGTGGAACTTCACACCTCCACAGTTATCATCATCATCATCATCATCATCAATGTACATTATTTGGGGTGCAAAAAATAAAGTTGGACAACCAACAAAAGCTTCTCCAATACACTGCTTGAATACTCTAAAGGGTCTATAACTGGCAGCAGCATTAGTAAAATTGCCAAGAGCAGCAGGGGATGCATTGCACTTGTAGTAATGACAAGATAGTCCATGTTGAACTACCTGTACAATATAGCCCATGGATTCTCAAAATGGCTTGTTGCCCCAAAATGAGTCATCCACAATGGGTTGTTACCTAGTTACCCACAATGGATTGTTCTGTTGTGTGAACCAGATTATAGCCACTGCAGTCTTATCCTCCACGTATTTGTCTAGTCCCCTTTTAAAGCCACCTACATTAGAAGCCATCACTACATCTTAAGATACTAAATTCCAGACTGTAACGTGCTCTGTGAAAACGTATGCTCTTTCATAACTCCTGAATCTCCCACCGTCAGTTTCTCTGGATGACACCCACTTCTAATATTTTGAGAGAGGAAGAAAACATTTCTTTTCTACTGTGCACAAATTTATATATCTCTCTCTGCATAGGTGTGAAAGTTAGACAATTGAGGAAGCTGACAGGAGGAAAATTGATGCATTTGAAACATGACACTGGAGGAGAGTGTTGCAAATACCGTAGACTGACAAAGACAAACAAATTAATTCAGAGATTTCTTAAGAAGAAATTATGCAACTGAAGGGGTTGTACTTTGGACATATCATGAGAAGGGGAAACTGCCTGGAGAAGACCATCATGGAGAGAAAGTTGAAGGCAGAAGAAGAGCAAGACCAAATATGAGATGGACTGACTCCATAAAGGAAGCCACAGCTTTGAATTTAAAAGAGCTGAGTGGGGCTGTCATACATAAGACATTTTGGGGGGCTTTCATACATCCGGTTTTCATAAGTCAGAAATGACTTCACAGCACATAACAGCAACAACAAGGAGAGCCCATGTGGCACAGCAGTTAGAGTGTTACACTGGGGATTTAGGAGCTGCAGGTTCTAGTCCCTGCTCAGCCATGGAACCAACTGGGTGACCTTAGGCCAGTCACAGACTCTCAGCCTAACCTACCTCACAGGGTTATTGTTGTAAGGATAAATTGAGGGGAGGAAGAGGATTATTGAGTTCCTTGAAAGGAAAAAAGGCAAGATGTAAGCATAATAAATAAATAAAACTAATAAATGTTTCTCTTACTTTTCTTCTAAACTAAAATACACCAGACATATGAACTTTTCTTGCAAGTGATTTCCTACTTTCTGCAGTTCTCTCATCATTGCCCCTTTCAGCACCTTTCCTAGAACTACAATATCCTTTTTGAGCTGTGGTAACCAGAGTATTGTAGATGGGTCACATTGCAGTGTTATATAAATGAACCGTGATGTTGACTGATTTATTTTTGTGTCTATTCCTAATGATTTATATCATGGCATTTGCCTTTTTCACACCTGTTGCACACTGGGTCATTCTTTACTACCACTTTCCAAGATCTTTTTCCTAGACAGTCATCACTAGCTCAAATGCCATCAGTGTATAAAATGTCCAGATAGGATTTAATAATAGGTATGGACAGCTGAAAGAATAAATTGTATTTACTAGAACAAACAGCATGAAATTAAGTGGTGTGGAGATATAGTTTTTCTGCCTGACAGGATCTGTGATTTGTACCAGATGAAATACATACAAAACGTGGAAGTTTTAATAATACACTGTGATCCTGTGCAACATTCATTTTTGACTAGCGATGGCAGAGAAATCTGCAACAGAATACAATTCAAATATATTCTGATTTCACTGAATCCAACCTGTGGCCTCCAAAGCAGGCCAGCCTTTCCCCAGACACATGGATTCAAAAGTGTGGGTTTTCATTTTTAAGGATTAGTGCTAATTTGCATTAACACAAGTGTGCATTAGTGCCCATGCACATTGGCACAAAAGTACAATGCACATTAGTTAATGTGCATTAACTAATAAGCATTAGCATTTTCACAAATATGCATTGGTATAATGCGCAGCAGTACAACTCTGTAAATTCTGTACAGTAAATACAGTAAATTCTGATAAAAAAGAATACAGTAAATTCTGATAAAAAAGAATCTAATTCCATCATTAAACAGAGGAGGGACTGAAAGACACCTGACAATCCAGAAAACAAAAAATCCACACATCCCTATTTCTGGCATCCCTCAAGAGGTTAGCTCATGCCCCAACTGGCCAGGGATGAGCATGCCCCCGCTTTCCTGGTGTGAGTTATCTGTAGTCTAGAAAAAAATCCCTTAGTTCCAAGTCAATTTTCCTTGGCAGGTTGGACAATGGGGAGTGAGTAGAGTAAACCCCATAAATTCTGGATCATGGCCTCCTGCTCTTAGGCCTGGAAGTGGGAAAGTTTTCTGAAGCTGGGGCTGCTCTTGTAATCAGCTGCCTTACTGTGAAAACTACAGCTTTAAAAGAAATGTCTGCTGCATTCAATGCAGGAATGAAAGCTATTACCAACCAGCCAACTGATGGACAGTAAGAGGCAGCAGGGCTAAGCTACGTTAGTCTGAGGCAAAGAAAAACAGATGTTTGTGTCTCCATAGTGCCAGGACCAGCCTATAATAAGCAGGATGTAAATTAACACATACCTTGCTGAAATCAAGAATTCTCTTTCTCAGAGTGATCTCATGAAAGCAAGAGAATTTTAAAAAGGAGTGACATACGTAGCATTCATCTGGGGACTTACCTGGATAACCAGCTTATTTTCCTTATTAGGTAGAATCCTGTAAGTGTATACACAGTTTCGATACCTGGAACAAATGCATCAGGAGAGGGTGTTAGAACAGCTAGACTTTTCCCCTGTGCAAGAAGAAAAGGTCAGTCTGGGGAGCTTTTGGATGTTGACAACAGCCTTTATTCCTTTGCTGATAGTTTCATATGACATGAAGTCTGTTGGCAATCCTGTTCTGCCATACATGGAAGTGCTTGAGTCAGCTCTTCGGCACCATGTTTCAGTTTTCAGTTCTTTACTGCCAGCAGCTACCTGCAGCGTGGTTTTGCTCTGTAGAAGTACCCTGTTGTTCTTAAAGCTCTTGCTGGTCACACACCTTCTGTGTGGCCTTCTCTTCATGATCCTTAACTTGGCCACCTCAAGCAAAGTCAACATTTCAATTACCTTTCCCAAACATTTTGCTTTCATTCATTCATTCATTCATTCATTCATTCATTCATTCATTCACTTACTCACTCACACTGATTTAGGTGATTGTAAACAATGTCATGTCAAAAAATGTTACCATCAGGAAGACAGGAAAAAGACACCCAAAGTTATCATGTTTTCAAATCTCTTCATTCAGTTCATCTTGTGATTGCAAAAGGCTATTTGCCAACTTTGATCTTTGGAGAAAAGTAATGTGAACAATGTCACAACATTGTGACAGGAATATCAGAAATATTGGTTCTAGGGGGCCTAACTAAAAATTACAAGTTGTACAGAGTCATTTCAGACCAGCTTCTTCTTCTAATCTGAACAATTACACAATGCTAATGCTATTCTAGTGAATGCTTCTCATCCTAGAGAGGAAGAGACACACAGGATAGCGATAGCTCCATATTTCTTAGTTTTATCTTCAAGTTAGGCCTTAGGGTGAAGGCAAACGTTTTCCAAGGCCCAGCCCAGAATCCATTTTTTAGCAACAGAGCTGCATTCCACAATAAGTAAAATAATAATAAATGTGCACAGTGCTTTTCTTCATGACAAAGTAACCATAGATTTGCACATTCCTAGAGCATAATACTGTGCATGTTTAGGCAGAAAAAAGTCCTACAACTCCCAGCTTTCCCCAGTCAGCTATGTTAGGAATTGTATGTCTTTTTTCCAGTCTAAATCTGCACAAGTTTGCACCCTCTATGGCCACCTGATGCCCTCCAGATGTACAGTCCAACACATTTGGGAGGCATTAGGTGGAGGAAAGTCTCTTTACAGGCAATGATCAAAATTATCTACATGAACGTATACTGCTTCTATACATGATTGCATGAAGAAACATGGCAGGGAAACAGAAAGAACTTGAATGGAGTACTGGAAGTCCCATTTCTAAATGGTGAATCTATCTTTCCCTTTACTATAGTTGCTGGCTTCCCATATATCCAGCTTGGATCACTCTAACACAGGGGTCTCAAACTCAACTTATCTGGGGGCCACTGGAAGTAGAGTCTGGGTGAGGCTGGGCCGCATCAAGTATTCCACCACTGTAGTGGTGGTGGGCCGCTCATCCTGCAGCCGGCCTGGGCGCCGCCGGCACTTTGAAGGCCGCAGGACCCCTCCCTTGTGCCCCGCCCGTCCCGGCAATTGGCCCGCGGGCCGCGAATTTGAGACCCCTGCTCTAACATTTCTCCACATAGCTGTGTGCTCATCCATACCATAATCTGACAGCATTTGGAGGAGTGGATTGGAATTGCTTGGAACAACGGGCAAGACTTCCAGGACTGATAGTGTGGTGTCCATTGACTGGCTTGATCTTGACACTTTCCTCTCTTTCTCCATTTACTTCTGAAATTAGCATCTGTTGCCAGTATGACTTGTGTTACCTCAAGTGCTGAAATAAACTCTATGCAATGAAGAAATGTAAAGGTGATTTTGTTTTCATGATTTGCTCCCTGGATTGACTATATAGTTTAGATAATGCTGGGTCTATTAGTAATAATAAATGCCTTGATCTAGTCCATGTTTTCACAAAGCTTTGTTTTGGTTTTGCTAGCAATGTCCCGGTTCAGTCTCTAGGCCAACACAATTGTCAGGGCTTGCGCCATGTGGTTGTGCCTCCTGGCCAGAACAAAGAAAATCTCCAGGAAGTTTCCTGCTTTCAGGGGAAAACAAACAAATGGAACCAGCAGAAAGGAAGGACATTCTGTGCAAAATTCTGCTAAAATAACTAAGCCCAATTTTCCATTTAACGTATTATTTTTTAATCCCATATAAGCTCATAGTTCAGCAAAGAGTATCAAGTTCCAGTTTCACTTAAGATAGAAAATGAGTCACACCAGAGGAAGACAGATTACTTGTTTGAAAATTGAAACCTACAAATGTATTTATTTTCCAGCAGAGATTCAAATGCAGCTGAAAGATTCTCTGCAACTGCAAAAGTTCTAGTTAAAATAGACTTCATTAGCTGCCTACTGTGTTGCCAGAAAGAATGTCACCTCTCTGCGGCTTCTATAGTTAGATGCTCCTTCAGCCTATTTCTCTCTCTACTTTTATGCTACTTCCTCTTCCTGATAAGCAAAAGTGAATACAATAATTGACGTGAAAAAAATGGATTTGATCATTAAAAACAGTATCTAAATGGGAGCAGTTCATATGGGGTAGAATATATCCTGCAGATTCTACTGCACAAATCATGGATCCTAGGGATTCTTTTTCATGAGTGGGATCCACCACCTTAACCCTTTACCAGAGGAAACCCTGAAATGAGCAGAAATGCTATTTCTTGATCAGGACCGAATATGAGACTTCTACTGACCTGCTCCAAAGAAGAAATGAGCATCTTCGGTCAATTCTGGCTGTCATGGAAGTGCTATATCTTTGTTCCTCAAGGAGTGCCCATCACTGGAGGCCTAAGCATGCAATTGGATGCTATCCATGGGTTCCTGAATTAGAAACCCTCAAAGTGACCTTACATGTTTTCACTCTTCTCAAGCAGGATACCATGAGAATAGCAGCAGAATTTGTCCATGCTTCTTCCATCATCCATCTTGCCTGATCACCCCCATACGTCTGGATCTTGTTCATAACATAGAAATAAGCAGCTAAGCTGAATGGCAGAGAAAGCACTGAAGAGCTTGCTGCTGTTTACATGGGTGGAAAAGGCACAAGATACTTGTACCTGCTTCTCTTGGGGGTCTAACTACACATTAATTAACTGTATGGTTTTCACTTTTGGCATATTTTTTTTTCCTTTGATCCTTGGAGAGAGGAAGGAATTTCCACTGGGACCACAGTCCGTGGCAAGGGAAGCTTTGACAAGTCTCAGGAGTTGTCCACTTCAAGAAGTGGTTGAAGTGCCAACTATCCCAGGAATTTTTCTGAGTTTTGCTATTCTAAGGAAGGGAAACCTGTGGACAAATCTCTGCGTCTGTCTCTGGGTTCCAAGTTCCAAGCCATCTTTTGTCACTGCAGAAACATGCTGGTCCAAGAACTTGGATCCATTTCTTTTATTTGGCAATCTCTTCACAATTGTCTTAATTCCATGAGCTGAGTCTGGATACCTGGATTTCGCTGTCTCAGGTTCCAGCAAGAGATGGCCATTGTTTGGTATTTTAGAAAAAAATATGCTTTTATCAGTAGTGGATTTTCAGTCAGAGCTGACATAACACTCCTCCAGCCTTTCCCAGACTGAAAAAGAAGGAAGAGGCAGTGAGAAAATCCAAGAGGGTCACAAATGACAGATTATGTTTGAACTCCCTGAACTTCTGTAAAAGAGGCAGGTGAATGCTCAACAAATGCTTGAAGGTACTGTGGATTTAAATAAGTTTGTACCACACCTTTAGGCTGTACCAAAATATTTGCGAAAAATAAGCATTCAGTAAGATCATCTTCAGGAGGTGACTTCTTGTGAAAAATAAAACTATTTGATCATCAGTGACAAAATACTTATGCTACTTACTTAAAGAAAAGAGCCAGGCTGGTCTATTTGTGTTCACTATTGCAGACAAAACACATCAGCAACAATCTCATTTATTCAATAATGCGTCTATGAGGTCTGTGCTGAATACTAAAGCAGGCTAAAGGGTGATAGAAACTGAAATCTCTGCGTCTTGCCTCCCAGTGGTCCATCATCAAAACCATTTTTATCCCTGCCTGATTCACTTTTGGTATTAAAACAAATACCAAAAATGAGGAAAAATGAGGTTGGGCAATGTACAGTGAAGGTGTATGACACAGCCTTGAGGGTACCACTTCCCTCCTTTTGATGTTAAAATCAGCCCTTCCCCCATCCCAACTTTATAAGCAAACAGAACGGATAGGTGACTAAACAAATGCAGTTGCCATTGTCATGTCTATTAAGTGTAATTTCTCAAATAGATGCAGTCATGCTTGAAAGCTAATGGTGTCTGCAGTCAGCCCTTTCAGAATGGTTTGTATTCTCTCCTAATGGATTGCTAAGCAATGAAATGGTCTTTAGTGGAACAGAGAATGAAAGTGCCACCCAACACTCTCCTTTTTCTTTCTCCGTATGTGTGACACAGAATGACGAGTGTTGGCCTGAGTTCCAGCTGAAAAATAATACTGATCAGAAAGAACTCTGGTCTTTGGGGGTGGGGGATCTGTTTTCCATCTGTGCAGTGCTGTTTAGTTTAATTCCAGACTTCCATAGGGATGTGGGAGTGTTGGGAGTTCCAATGACATTCCAACCTCAGAAGGATAATTAATTGGTTGGTTTCCTCTGGGTTGGATTTATCTGAATCATAGCAGAGGGATCTTCACTTCTGAATGTGGGCTTTGATGCACAGACTATACAGAGGGCATTCTCACACATAATTAAATGTCTTGCTGCATTTAGTGCATTTCTATTTTAAACATAAAACCTACATTGCCTAGAAAGTAAAAGCTCTCTTCTGCATTGACAAAGCTCAAATATGCATTAATAGTGCAAAGGGCACTTTAAATGCCATTTTAGTCTTATTTAGTTGCCATCACTTCCATTAAAGACAGGAAGATATTAGAAAAAGATATCATTGCAGTTAACTTTTTCATGAATTTTTATTCAAATGTTTATTTCCATCTCTGATCATGCTAGAATTACAGCTT